ATAACAAAATGAATTTGGGTTACAGTCTGATGAAATAGTCCACTTGTTACTGGAAGATCCCATTTGTACCAATGGAGTTAAAAGAACTACTTTTGAAAGTAAATCTTCTAAATGTCTTGAACAACTGAAAAAACACTAAAAATTGTGTTTATAATTCCGTGTTTTTGACTCCAAATATCGAGTTCTCTATACTTATCAAGTTGCCCCGAGGACCTGATCTGACTCCAGAAGAAGATGGCAGTAATCCAGAATCTACAAGAAATTTGCCGCACAAACTCCTTGTAAGTATGCTGTTTCTGATCTAGTCTAATAGTGATTCAATTAAGTTTCAATAATGCATAAAGAAAGAAAGTGAAGAATACTAACTGTACTAAAGAAACAGTAGAATTGATAAGGCTTACAGTAGAACGACTGAAATATAACTTAGAAGAATTGTTAATGTTGTTATACAGATTATGACCGATATAATTTCTCGTGTTGACTTAGTTGATAACTAAACTAATGATGTAATAAACTTAGTAATAAAAATCTAGACTTTCCAAGTGAAGAATTCAATGATTTAGAGTTAGTGTTGTTTCAAGATAACCTTAAGAGTTTCGATATAAATGAACTGTTCAACAGTATATACATAAAGAAGTTATTTGATTTGCATGCAGTTGTTTCTGTACGAGTTCTTTATTCCACATGTAGACTTCCTCGAGTTGGTGGCTTGTGTGCTCCGTTCGCGACAGCACGACCCGAAATCCAAATAAATTTCTTTGTAACGAGTGGAAAGTCGAACCCAATGACTAAGCCCACGGACTGCCCACACACCCGTTACATAATACACAATTAACTAATCACATATCATCTGCTTGACATGTATAACTTAGATTTGATCCATAACTAGTAACCAACAAACTTCAATTCTTTTAAGCATTTCTACGAAACAATAACGCTAAAGAACTAGATCATTGTGTGAAAGGTAGTGGGGTGGTTCTCATGAAAACTAGAGATTTACAGAGTAAAAGTAGATGACTCAGCGAAAACAACTTTTTGATGACAGTTAAATTGAATTCATTAAACACCTCACAATTCTGACAACCACCATTAACGAGATTCCCACTGTCCCTATCTACTATGTAGCAAAACCACAGCCAAGGGAACGGGCTTGGAAAAATCAGCGGAGAGTGAACATAGGCATACTAGTATTTTTCATTATTTTACAAATCACAGGAAGCCATTAAGACATTAGCGAACCTTCCTCATCACCTACTGCCATTGATAATTTAATTAGTACTCATTTCAAAGCCAAGTTCCACGAATACCATTAGAAACTATTTTGGTTAACTTACTATATTTCAGTCTCGCCATAAGTTTTTTTTTTATTCCTGGAAGAATGAAGGCACTGAAGAAATGGGTGAATAGAGCACTAAACAAAACAACTCTTCCCCCCCCCCCTCTATGCAACAAAGAATCCCAAATGAAATTTTCAACATGATACTGTCTAGGTTTCAAGACAGCGGGTCAGCATCACTGGCAAGATAACATGTTAAATACGATATGTCATTGAGGGAATAAAACTGAACCATATAGTAACACTATTAATACGTGAACACTAACGACATTAATATATATATATAGTTGAAGTCAATTTTCAAGGACGTATATTTCATCTACATTGCACATAAGACATGAGTAGGAAAAATTCCTCTCCCCATAAAGTATTTGTTAATTTTCTAAGTACGATCTTTGTAAAAGTAATTTACAATTATATTATAGTGGGTCTCAAAACATATAACACACAACCAGCCTGATCATTGCATTGACGTCGACACTGGAACAATATTTATAGTGTGAGTGTGCTGAAAACCACCGAACAAAACTGTAACCTCTGCTAACAAAATGAAGCCAGCACAAATACTTGTTTACCTATTTAAATAAACACGAATGCTTTAACGGCATTCCTTGGTGCCAGGTTTACAACACCCTTACTATAAAAACGTCGAAAGTATACAAACCGAAAAGCAAATCAGCCTACCCTACACTTTTTAACTTTAATACTAGTGTGGTATACTCTGGCGCACGGATTTCCTGCTGAACTGAAAGTTCATAAGATGTGGGTTAATGTCTGCCTTTGAACTCTGACTGAGTTAATCAACAAAAAAAAAAGCAATATACAGAACAAGCTTACAGCACAACAATCTTTATGGAATAAAAACAATCAAAAGACAAACACAAAACAAAGGATAGTATTTGTTATGAATGTGTTCTGAACTGGTAAGAAAAAGTGTGGAGAAACCTTTAATGGATCTCTCTTATCAGCCCAGTGTGAGCTCTTCCTATAAGCTAAAATAAAAGAAAGTTAACTATAACATTAAAGTTAATCATAAAGCGAGGTTATTTTAAAATTGCTAAAGTTAAGTCCTCAAGATAATGTAAAACTTCCCCAACCACTGTAAAAACTCTGAAGAACATTCTTAACTCAGAAGAATTTGGCTTTAAATACTAAACTAGAATAACATCAACAATGTGATGTTGCTCATGCCACAATCTTCGCACACGTGACTTACTCTCACATTTGTTCCATCGTAGGGGCTTGGAAGTCCGACACCATTACTAGATTCGCCTACAGGGAAGATATGTGTATCTCAAAACATCACAGTGAAGTAACAACTATGTTCCTCTAAGAGTCTAAGTGAACACGCCAAAATGGCTAATTAGAGGATTAGAGTTTTGTGAAAAGGTGAGGGTGAAAGTTCGTATGCCACGACCTTTTGCAGAGTGCCATTCGACATGGTATTATGTATTTGATGTCAGAACTACCAATTGTTAATTTAACTCTACTTTTCTGATTTAGTGACAGTTCGTGGAAGAAAAGAGTAAATAACAAAAACAATGTACAAGGATACTGAAAAGCTGTAGATATGCATTTCAGAGGTTCTAGAAGTTATGCAAATACACTGTGCAAACTGTACAATGGACAAAAGTATTTGCACTCTGACTTAATCAGACTGACATCGTCAATTCACAGACATATTTTCAGTACCAATATTTTTGCAACACATCTATTTTTTTGTGCACAACAGACTTGTACATTTGTAGATACACGTATAATTATAGCCAACGCCCCGTCTCAAATATAGGGTCAGCCAATCCCGTGTACATTCGGTTAAGGAAAATTGAGTTTTTTACTTGAGCGACTCCCCACTTCCAAATTGAACTGAAAAAAAAACCAACTGAAATTGAGAAATGTGTTCATACTAACTAAACGGATTGCTAACATATGGTACCTTTCTGTAACATACATTTCCTCCCCCTTTTTAATTCCAGACCAACCTAGCCACTCCTAATTGTAATAGTATAAAACTTAATCTAATTTTAATTGCGTGACACTCAAGAAATCGAAATAACTCCCCACTGCCACAGTAAAAATACTTGCCAAACAACGCTAACAAATTCAATGGTAAAACCAATTTGGCAAAAAAAGACAATAAAATATCTACACAGCTCACTTACCCCTTTAGAAAAAGGTAATTTAACATACTATTCGTTACAAAAATACAAAAATTGTTTAACACAAAAAACACGTTAAATGAGCCCCTTTAAAAAAGAAAATACACAAACTTTAACAGAAAATAAGCCTACATATACAACTCTTTAATATAAATCAAATTACATTTCCAAAAAAAAAAAAAAAAGAAGAAACCCTTTAACAAAGCTCACTTAATCACCTTCCCCTATAGGAGGTAGCTAACAATATAAATAACCTTTAACAGAGAAATGCGTACAAAAATAACTTTTAACAAACTTTTAAAAACCTGTAAAAAAAACTTTATATACATACAATACAATCTGAAGCCCCAGTGACACAGCAGTATGTCTACAGACATACAACGCTAGAATCCGGGTTTCGATTCCCGTGGTGGGCAGAGCACAGATAGCCCATTGTGTAGATTTGTGCTTAATTACAAACAAACAATAAAATCTGAAATCCTCTATTTAAATCAAAAACGTACATACACTTACTAACAAATATAATTCTTAACACTGATTACCCTACACAAATATACATCTCTGAACTATTCACAAAAAAACCTTTAACAAACAATATATATATATATATATATATATGCTATAAATACATAAATAAAATCATACTATAATTGTATATACAATTTATGGGTAAGGTGGAGCTGCTTATCTAGAGGATCCCCGACAGCAAATCATCCAATGAAGCCATTAATTTCAAGTGTGGCATGGTGGTCTGGCAGCTAATCTCTCTGGCTCACACAGTAGCCTTCCGAATTCTCGACATATCTTCTAGGAGATGGGGCATTTCTTTCTCTAGTTGCATTGGTGGATCTCTGTGCCTCAGCAGATATTTTTTCTTCTTGTTTTAAAATGCCCAGGTCTTCATCTATCTGGCTTTCTGTGCTTTGCAGTGGAGTTTTAGAACTACTATTTGTCTCAGCAAAAGCTGATCTTTTACCTCATTTAGGATTTTGGTGGAGAGATCCAACTTCTCTGTTCTTGTTTGTGTAATCTTGAAAAGTTGTTGTTAATTAAGTGGATGCCTTGAAGTCAGTTGTGGAGGTCACTGTCTCAGCTACCATATCTGATGTGGACATAATGGTGACTTCCATTTGAGCTGTTACCCCTGAAGTGCTGTTCGGAGTCATGGAACAGCCTTCCAACTGTTTTGAATTTTGTTCATAGTGTAACTCTTGGATGAGAGATATAATGGTTCTGCTGGAGATGAACACACATTGCATGATGTTAGCTTCATCTCACAAAACACTTTTGGACAGGGCACTTGTAGTTGTTCTCTCAGTACTCCACCTTTACCTTGGATTTAGTCTTATCCTTAACTACTAGTGGTGCTATATCCAGCATTGTATGGGCGGGCTGAGCTTTGAAGACTCAACAGAACCCACAATCCCTACAATTACTACTAGTGATTGGCTGTGGTGACTTTTGATGTTCCAGACTCCAGAAAACTAACCCGATACTAATTATACAGATTTTTCATGTCTACTTCCTCATCCTGCAATGTGTCTTCATCCAGAGGCTCCAAAGACATGAAGCTGAATTCAGTCCCTGAAGTCATGGGAAATGCAAGAAGCTCCAAACATCTGAAAAGTCAAATAAAAGACTCACAAGTACTTCCTTTATGGCAAAAAGTTCACCCTTTGAGTGGACCATACATCACTGAATTGGTGCATTAACTTTAGAAACTGTAAGAGATTATAGCACATTGTATCACAATATTGCAGGGTATAACATGATCATAGGGCATCATCCAGGCATGCAACATGGAAATTCAGATGGAGTATCTCCATGCAAGGTGAGACTATGTCTGTTTATTGAATGTCTTGATTCTGAATATCATGTTTGAATAAATGCCATTTTAACTGTAATGACACAGATCCATGCTGTAGGAGATTCCATTAGTGACTGGATGCTAAGGCTCTCATTAAAATAGCTTTGGGAAGGGTAACTGAAGAACACATAATTAGTGTGGATGCTTCTTGCCATGCAGCAAGGTGAAGCAAACCAATATAGGTTGAGGAATGTAGCACAGCTACATATGTTCTGCGGCACTTATACAAACAATAGTGTGCTCTACTATTAGACATAGTTCTCAGCCTGTGTTTGTCCTAGTGGTCCCCGTGGCTCTAAGGTAGTAACATCTCCAGGCTTTGCATAAACTAAGTAATGGAGGTCACTATAGTACCACATGCATTAATGCTAACATTTGATGGCAGTTCTACAGAAAATAGCCCTAGGTATCACTGGTCCTCTTCCCCAGACAAATTGAGTACAGTCCAATGCTAATGTGTTGGCAAAACAATGGATAGCCCAATTCGGCACCCCTATTGTGCAATGTGTTGGTGTAGTAAAACTGCGCATTTCACCTTATCGACCCCAGTTTAATGGTTTGACAGAGTGAATAATACATATTATCAAATGGATGCTTGCAAAGTTTGTTAATCCTCATTGAAGTGATTGGAATGAACATAGTGTGCAACAGAAGAAAGAAAGGCTGAATGTTCACCAAACATGCTTATGTTTGGTTGGTAAATTATGCTCTCTGTGAATGTGATCTATAGTCAACCACCTACAACAGATGTGCCAATGTGTCCACAAAAATATGTGGAGTGGCTGAAATCTGTGCTGATCAATGAGCATGAGTACGAATGCGGCAACTAGTAGAGGCCACCATTCAGCAGAAGAGAAACTACGACAAAACAGTCAAGTAATATACATTTCAGAGTTGATATTCAGTGTGGCTTTTGTACATGCCTGTGGCACAGAAATAATTCAGCTTTAAGGCCTTTGTTTTCCAAACTATTTAGTGTTGTTCTCTGACAAAGTGTATGAAGTGCATTATTTGACTAGCAATTGATTATCAACAGCTAGGCCAGTCGTTTGGTCGACCCTTACTTTCCAAGTTTTGGGGTGGTATTGTCCAAATTTGACTGCATTTTGTGACTTTCACGTGTTTGTCACAGTTTAGGATAGCCAGTAGATGTAATACCTAGAACACTGACAGTTTCAACAACTAAAGATGTTTGCTAGTTCAAAAACTTAACCAAAAAAGCATTTCATCCCGTGCTTTCTGAATGAAATATGGGAGTGTACTATGTATTTTTCACCCCTTTAGTTAACTTTTACAATTTTGAAAATTACTTTATTTCTTTGTAGTTTTCCATTTAAATTCAGTGAGGCACTCAAATAAGTTACTTAACTTTCCTTTTTGCTAGAAGCATGCTGTGGGCGTACTTTTAATTATGTAGCTATTCAAGTATCTTCTACAGGAAAGATGGCTCAGTACATAACCAGAAAAACAGTTGTTTTTTTTTGTTGGTGAATAAGATTATAGCTAAAGACAGACATTCCCTTTGAAAGCACCTGGACCATTTGCTTGCTGTGGTGTAAAGTGCAGATCTGTGAGACTTTTGTGTACTATTCACTGAAGTTAATTGATGCATTAAGGTTAATTCTGCCCCAAATTCTATGTTTTCACAAGCTTAATTTATTAAGAAGAGGCCACATACGTTTGTACTGAGTTTTCCTTGATTTTAACTTTCACTTGTGTGAGAGCATTAAAGTGCTCACACAACGTAGAAGCTTTGCCTTAAATGAACTTGGAGTGTATTTCATTTTGTTTTTAATATGTATTAAGATGGATTCCAATTTCAGGGGGAGTTGAAGCCAGGCTGCTAGAATAAAGTAAGTTTACTGGTATCCAAGAATAATTTGGATTTTACAGTTGATTA